TATCTTGTGTATTCCTCAAGTTGAGTTATTACAATATCTTGTTGATGTTTCTAATATGAGAACTGTGTCTATGACCTATGCTCATACACTTCAGAAAGATTCACATATATGCTCAGTTTCTAGAATGAAGGGGAAAGACTTTAAACCATTAATCTTAATCTTACTCCATAAAGTTATGGATATCATCCTCATGATATGAACCTATTCATTTAAGCAGTCATGTATCAAGTATGCTCAGTCTCGCAAATTCATGATTTTCTCTGAAGGTCTAGCAAATAATGTTATGTCATGCATATTCTTATATAAGAACTCTCTAATGAATCGTGCTTATGATCTTTCGCCCTAAAGTTTTCTTAGTGATCCTTTTAGTTTTGAGAGTTGTGTGATGATAGAGAAGAGGATTGTTATTTTCTTATTGTGATAGTGATGGTGTGTTAATTCCATCTTAGGTTATAAAGTTGTGTCGGTAGAAGTGATGAGAGAATGAGAAATTCTTATAACGATTGGTTAGTAGGAGTCCATGGAGTGGTTATAGTACTAGACTTGAATGTGGTGTTAGTAGCATGTGGATGAATGCATGATGCATTAGGTGGTTGTTTATTAAGACTCGAGGTTTGTTGAATGTGGTGGTAAGGAGTATCCTTGGGGATTAGATTTCCTATAGAGGTGTAAAACTCGAATCTTGTGATTTAGATTAGAATAATCACCCTATGTTAGTACTATTTGATTTTGAATTAGACTTGAATACAGTAAGAGCAAACAGTTTGACTTAGACGTTTGTAAGAGTAGTCATATACTCTAGTGGGAGCTAGGATTTGCAGATAATGAAATGTGGTAAGCAGAAAGAAGAGCATAGTTGAGAAGTGTTTCTAAGCTTATAAGCTCCAGTCATATCACTCAAGGCATAGTGTTCCTATTCTTACTTCGTGCCCAAATATCCTTGCTTTATGTCAAATAGCTTCTGATAGAGCGTGATTATGTTCAAAAGAATATCGTTCTTGACTTATGTGCTATAGACAGTTCCAAGATCAAAGTTTTAAAATTCTACAAAAATTCAAGTTCTCTAAAGTTCACAACTTAAAGTTCTAAAATCCTACAAAAATTCAAGTTCATATCTAATATCTAAAATTAGTTCTATATAAACTTCAAATTCAAGTATTTCTAAGTTCAAGAATTCAACTTTCATATACTATCCAATATTTTTCTAACTTCAAAGTAATCTAACTTTCATGTACAATCTAATATATTTCTAACTTCAACTTTCAAACTTAATAAATTCAAGAATTTCCAAGTTGGAAAATTCAACTAATCTAATTTCAACTTTCTACTATTCAATATTTTTTTAACTTCAAAATAATCTAACTTCCATATACAATTCAATATTTTTCTAACTTCAACTTTCAAAAATACTAAATTTAAGAATTTCAAAGTTGGAAAATGCAATTAATCTAACTTCTAACTTCTAATTATTTGTTAGTTCTAACTTCGAATACTCAATTCACAATCATATTAAAAATATGCCCAAATTAAATGAAAACCCTAAAATAAAAAATCCCCAATTCTCTCCCTAACTTACAATAATCAAATATACAAATTAACAATTGAATAACAAAATTTTAAAAACTAAAATAATATACCAACTTATAACAAATCAAATATTACTAGAATTGAAAATAAAATTAAAATTAAACCATAAACTTAACAAGCTAAGGAAAAGAGGCAGTGGGGACGACGGGTGGTGGCACCAACGAGGCAAGGCAGTGATGGGACTAGTGCTCAGGGAGAGAAGATGTGGGGCGGCGTGGGGCAGTGGCGGCACATCTAGTTTTAGAGAGAAGGGAGAGAAGAGAGAGAAACAGAGATGAGAAAATGGGGAAAATCCCACTTTTGGTGCGTCTCTTTGTCCGTCGCTTTTTTAAAAATATTTTACCAACATTTTGACCAAAAAGCGACGGACTAAGAGACGCTATCCGTCTCTTTTTTAAAATGTTTCACTAGATATTTTGACCAAAAAGCGACGGACTAAGAGACGCTATCCGTCTCTTTTTTAAAATGTTTCACTAGATATTTTGACCAAAAAGCGACGGACTAAAACATGCCGTCTGTCGCTTTTTAAAAACAAATTAATAAAATAAAACAAATTAAAAACGACGGACAGCGTGGTTATTATTTAATTTATAAATAATTATTTTTAATAAAAAGCGACGAACGGCTCTCTATATATATTAAATAAATAAATATTAATTATATATATATGGCGCAAACATTTGTGAAAAAAGTGACGGACTAAGAAATGTCGTCCGTCGCTTTTTGTAAAATAATTTTAAAAATAATTATTTTTATTAAAAAGCGACGGACAGTGTGGCAAATGACGTCGGTTTTTGGAGCGACACCGTCCGTTGTTTATTAGCAGTTTTTTAGTAGTGTATTTTCTACACAAACTTTACAAAATTCAGATTAATTATCAATTTATACTGTAGGGTCTTGCTGGTGAACACAATGAGTGCACTACACCTTGTCTCACAATTAAAAAGTAGAAAAGAACTTGAGTTGTACATGTGCATCTCATATCTATTGTACTGTATTAATTAAGTGAAACAATTTGATTTTCTTGTTTTGTAATTGGTTGTGTTCTCATGCATCATCTCATTTATCTAAACAAATGATAAAGGGTAAGTATGCTATGTCTTTGTCCCCCAATTATAAAAATTTAGAGATGGAAAAGTGAACAATTTGGACAAAATCAAAGAGATTAAATCTGCAAGACACTATCTTTTAGTTATTCCAACAAATAAATAGAAATATGTTGCTCTTTCTTCACTTATGTATACACTAGTAAAATTACCCGTGCTTTGCGCGGAAATTTAACATCAGGAAATTTATAAAATAATACTTAAAACTTATAAAAAGAAATATGCTGCTCTTTCTTCACTTATATATACATTGGAACAACTCTTCAAACCTAACCGATCTTTGGTTTGTTGAAGCTGTACACAAACACATGTTCAATCTCTCTATCAAAGTCTTTCTACTATGCAAGTTTTTCTTGACGATACGACAAAGGAAGCCAAAGACATTGAAACTCTTAAGGTTATAGAAAAGAGGATCAGAGATGTAATATATAAAGTAGAAGATAAAGTTGATTCAATCCTAAGAAGCATTGTTTTAGCTGATATAGAGAAGGATGTTACAGACTTAGACTTCAATTAAACTCTATGTACGACACTCATCAACTTATATTATTTTCACTATCTTGTAATATTTCTTGCTTTTTCTTGATTTGTTACAAATGAATGCTCTCCTATGTATACTTCATACCTAAGGGCTAAAGTGCAAAAACAAATTGCCAAACAAGTCCCTACATATTTACAATAGGCCACTCTTCTAGAATTCTCTACAAGTCTAGGCCTTCCAAGTAATATTCTACAGTCTTCTTCAAACCTCTCTGAGACTCTAGACTCTTCCCACTAGGTCTAGGAAGAAGATGTTGATTCTCTCAAGAAAGAAGTGCCACAGATTCAGTTTAACAAGCACTGAAGAAAATCTGAAGAACAAGTCCTCACCAAAAAAAAAATACAATTTAGGAAGCTACAATTGTTGGGATGGAGGATGACTTCAATGCCATACTTGAACACCTCAATGCCTAAACAGACGATTTAGTTTTCGTACCAATTTTAGGTATGTGCTATATAGGTAAGACAACTCTTGACGAAAAATATTATGATGATTATATTTGTTCTCAATTTGATAATCATGCATGGAACACTATATTCGAAGAATTCAATGAGAGACAAATGCCTCTTGAAGTTGTCTCTACAATTACAGGAAGCAATCAAGAAATGAGCGATGATCAACTAATGAGGATTGTGTAAAGAGGTCTGAAGGGTTGGAGATTTCTAAATGTCATAGATGATACATGGAGTACTGAGGCATGACACCAAATACAAATAATATTTCCAAATGATGACAATAGAAGTCGAATTCTATTAACCACTCGGCTCTTTTATGTTGTTGATTATGTCAGCTATCCTGATTTTCCACCTGATAGAAAGTATTTTATAAGTCTTGATCTCAGTTTGAACTTATCCAAAAAATTATTCAAAAAAAATATTTGTCTCCTCCTCTACTTGTAGAACTAGGGAAGCATATTGTAATACAATGTCGAGGATTACCTCTCTCGATTGTTTTCGTTGCAAAATTTGTTGGTCAAATGGACACAACATATGATAATTGGTAGAATGTTGAGGAAAATCTGAAATGATTCTTTGGTACTATATCCGAACAGTTTCAATCAATTCTTTGTTTGGAGGTTTTCCTGAAGATAAAGTGATTAATGTTTCCAAGTTTATTAGAAATAATAAAAGGTTACAAGTGGTGGCATTGTGGGAATAAAATCTTGGCAGCAACTAATTGGCAGCCATATTTGTTGAAATTTAATTGCCACAAATGTGAAAGTTGGTAGCCACATTTGTGGAAGTTGGTAGTCAAAGTTTGGTAGAATTTTGGTAGAGTTTGGCAGCCAAATTTTGTGGAATTTGGCTACCACATATATGTCACTAATGATGTAATTAAGAGGTTCAAAAAATCTATAAATAGAATAGTAATTGAACACTTGAAGACACATAAAAAAAATAGAGAAGCAATAGAGAGTAGAGAGAGTAATCCACAAACTACTTCTTAGTTTGTGAGAAAATAGTGTGAAAGTAATATAATTGTGAGTTGTAGGAAATAAAAGAGTGTTGAGTAGTTCGTCTTTTGACACTACCATGTTTTTTCATCAATATTATTGTATTACTTCTTCGGGTATCATATTTACCCCATTTTAATAATTGGTGTTGTTGCTACTCTCTTCCTATGTTGCTATTTAGTTTGGACATTATCCTGGGTGTGATTATCATTTTGTCCAACAACGTGGTATCAGAGCCATGGAAAATAATAGCCTGTTGTCCTTTCATTACCCCTGTCTCACAAGAGAAAATTATGAAAAATGGTGTCTACGAATGAAAGCCATTCTTGGCTCTCAAGATGTTTGGGACATTGTAGACAAAGGGTATACAAAGCCCATTAATGAGGAAACTTTACCCTTAAATGAAAAGGAGGTCTTGTTAAAGACCAGAAAGAAAGATCAACAGACCCTCACTCTTATCCATCAATGTTTGGATGATGGCATGTTTGAGAAGGTGGTTGATGCAACCAGCTCAAAAAAAGCTTGGGAGATTTTACAAAATTCTCTCCAAGGAGTTGATAAAGTAAAGAAGATAAAACTTCAAACTCTAAGGGTTGACTTTGATGTTTTAAAATTGAAAGAATCTGAATCCATTTCAGATATCTGTTCAAGATTGATGGATGTTGTAAATCAACTAAGAAGATACAAGAATGAAGTACATGATGTGCGTGCGGTAGAAAAAATCCTTCGTTCTTTAACACCTAAATTTGATTATGTGGTGTGTTCTATTGAGGATTCTAAAGATTTAGACTCTATGGCGGTAGAACAATTGGAAGGTTCTTTACTAGCCCACGAAGAGAAAATGAAAAGGAGAAAAGAAAGCCACTAGAGCAACTTCTGAAAACCCATGCATCCTTCAAAGGATTTAAAGGTGAGAAAAGTTACAAAGGAAATGGACAGTGGCAAGGCCGTGGAAGAGGAAAAAGTTATACCAATAAATCCAACAATGAAAATAAGAGTCACCAGTCATTGAGAGGTTGTTGTCGTGGTCAACAAGGAGGTAGAGGACGTGGACCATATCAAGGTACAAATGAAATGAAGTATGACAAATCTAAAATTGAGTGTTATAACTGTCATAAAATTGGACACTACTCTTGGGAATGTCCTAGTAATGTTGAAGAGACAGTTAATCTTGTTGACAACAACAAAGACTGAGATGAGTCAACGTTGTTATTAGCACTCAAAGAAGAAGATACAAATGATTGTAGTTTATGGTATCTTTACGATGGAGCAAGCAATCATATGTGTGGCCACAAAGATAAGTTTGTGGAGATAACGAAGACGGTGAAAGGTAATGTGTCTTTTGGAGATACCTCAAAGATCCAAATTGAAGGGATAGGTACGATTTTGATATCTTGTAAAGATGGTGGCCATAAATTGATTAACAATGTTTATTATGTCCCAAAATTGAAAAGTAATATTTTGAGTTTGGGTCAACTTCTTAAAAAAGAATACGATATTCATATGAATAATATGCATCCTTGGCTTAGAGATTCAAGTAACAACTTGATTGCTGAAGTTCATATGGCAAATAATAGGTTGATCCCATTGAATCTTAAAACCATCGATGCAAAGTGTTTGAAGGCTAATGTGCAAGATGACTCATGGTGTTGGCATATGCGATTTGGGCACTTGAACTTTGAAGCACTAAAATCAATGGGAGACAAGAACTTGGTTGATGGGATTCCGTCAATCAACCATCCAATTCAGTTGTGTGAAGCTTTTCTTCTTGGAAAACATGCAAGGAGGATTTTTCCAAAGGATATTACATCAAGAACAAGTAAGCCACTTCAACTTGTACATGCCGATGTGTGTGGTCCAATCAATCGACCTTCTTTTGGTAATAGAAAAATACTTCTTGCTCTTTATTGATGATTTCAGTAGAAAAACATGGTATACTTCTTGAAGCAAAAATCTGATGTTTTTGTTGCCTTTAATTTTGAAAGCACTTGTACAAAAAGAAAGTGGTTATGAAATAAAAGCATTAAGGTCCAATAGAGGAGGCGAATTCACTTCAAAAGAATTTAATGACTTTTGTCAATCTCATGGAATTCGTCGCCTTCTAACGATACCTTGCTCTCCCCAACCAAATGGAGTTGTAGAAAGAAAGAATATAACAATTCATAATATGGCTAGATGTATGTTGAAAGCTAAACATCTACTGAAATTTTTTTGGGCCGAGGCTGTTTCTTGTGCAGTTTATTTTAGCAACATGTCTCCAACAAAAAATGTATTAGATCAAACACCTCAAGAAACATGGAGTGGAAGAAAGCCAAATGTAAAGCACTTGAGAATCTTTGGGAGCATAGCATATGCTCCTGTTCCACATCAAGGGAGAGATAAACTTGATGATAGGAGTGTCAAGTATGTGTTTGTTGGCTATGACACGAGTTCAAAAGGCTACAAATTGTACAATCCAAGCAATAACAAGGTGGTGGTGAGTCGTGATGTTGAATTTGACGAAGAAGCATCATGGAATTGGGAGACTCCGGAAGAAATAACATATGATTTTCTTCCATACTTTGGAGATGAAGAAGAACAGGAGATCATGACACCTACACAGGATGCAACCCCACCTCCTTCACTAGCAAATGTTGCATCTCCATCTTTTCAAGAGAGTTCAAGTGAAAGACCTCATAGGATGAGGAGCATCCAAGAACTCTATGATGACAAAAAAGAAATTACTAATTTTGATTTTTGTTGTCTCTTTGCTGATAGTGAACCAATGAATTTTGATGAAGTTGTTACTGATAAAAGGTTGAGACAAACAATGGAGGAGGAGATCCAATCAATAGAGAAGAACAACACTTGGGAGTTAACGACTCTTCCCAAGGATAACCGAGCAATTGGAGTCAAATGGATATACAAGTTGAAGAAAAACTGCCACGGAGAGGTAGAGAGATACAAAGCAAGACTTGTGGCTAAAGGCTACAAACAAAGGCATGTCATCGACTATGAGAAGTCTATCCGCCTGTTGCTCGCATGGAGACAATCCGTTTATTGATCTCTTTAGCGGCCCAAATGAAGTGGAAGATCCATCAACTAGATGTCAAATCGGCATTCTTAAATGGATATCTTGAAGAAGAAGTCTATGTTGAGAAACCATTGGGTTTTATGGTTAAAAAGCATGAAGATAAGGTTTTGAGGTTGAATAAAGTGTTATATGGGTTGAAGCAAGCTCTACGAGCTTGGAATAGCCGCATTGAAAAATACTTTTAAGACAATGGGTTTACTCGTTGTCTCCATGAATATGCTCTTTACATTAAAATTCATACTAATGATATTCTGCTTGTTTGTCATTATGTTGAGATTTCATTCTAACGGGTAACAACCCAATTTTATTTGAAACTTTCAACAACGCTATGTTCTTTGAGTTTGAGATGACAGACATAGGGCTCATGTCATATTACTTGGGCCTAGAAGTGAAGAAAATGGAGGAAGGCATCTTCATATCTCAAGAAAGCTAAACAAAGAAGATTTTGAAGAAGTCTAACATGTTTGATTGTAACCCTATGAATACCCTAATGGAATGTGGAAAAACTTTGTCAAAGTTTGATGATGGAGAAAAGGTGGACTCTACTCTGTTCAAAAGTATCGTAGGAATTCTAAGGTACTTGACATGTACAAGATCAGATATACTCTTTGCGGTTGAAATAGTAAGTTGCTTTATAGAAGCTCCTACCTCCACTAACTTGAAGGTCGCTAAAAGAATTCTTTGCTACCTAAAAGGTACAATCAACCTTGGACTATTTTATTCTTCTTCTAATGATTTTATGTTTGTGGGATACAGTGATAGTGATTATGCAGGAGATGTTGATAATGGAAAAAGAACATCGGGTTTTGTGTTTTCTTGGGTGATTGTGTTATTTCTTGGAGTTCAAAGAAACAATCAATTGTTACTCTCTCGACTTGTGAAGCTGAATACGTGGCAGCTACATCATGTACTTGTCATGCTATTTGGTTGAGGAGATTTTTGAAGGAACTCAACTTACCTCAAATTGAAGCTACAGTGATTTGTGTTGATAACCAATCTGTGCAAGCAACTGCAAAGAATCAGTGTATCATGATCGGAGCAAGCACATAGACGCAAGGTATCACTTCATCCGAGAATGCATTGTAGAGCTCAAGTATGTGAAATCTCATGAACAAGTTATGAATATCTTTACAAAGCCTCTCAACTTTGAAGATTTTCAGAAATTGAGATCAAGCCTTGGAGTAAAGAAGAAAAATCTAAATTAAGGCAGAGATTTGTGTGAATAAAATCTTGGCAGCAACTAATTTGGCAGCCACATGTGTTGAAATTTCATTTTCACAAATGTGTAAGTTGGCAAGCCACAAATGTGAAAGTTGGTAGCCACATTTGTGGAAGTTGGTAGTCAAAGTTTGGTAGAGTTTGGCAGCCAAATTTTGTGGAATTTGGCTACCACATTTATTTCACTAATGATAATCAAGAGGTTCAAAAACCCTATAAAGAGAGTAGTAAGTGAACACTTGAAGACACACCAAAAAAAAAATAGGGAAGCAATAGAGAGTGAGAGTAATCCACAAACTACTTCTTAGTTTGTGAGAAAATAGTGTGAAAGTAATATAATTGTGAGTTGTAAGAAATAAAAGAGTGTTGAGTAGTAGTCATTTGACACTACCAAGTTTTTCATCAATATTATTGTATTACTTATTCGGGTATCATATTTACCCCATTTTAATAATTGGTGTTGTTGTTACTCTCTTTCTATTGGTATTTAGTTTGTACATTATCCTGGGTGTGATTATCATTTTGTCCAATAGGCATAGGAATATCTAGAAGAGTTAACTGATAGAAGTCTAATTTTGGCTTGTACACGAAGGACTAATGGAAGGATAAGAAGTTGAAAATTCATGATCTTCTTCGCTAACTATGCCTGAGTAAATCCCTATATGATCAACGGAGAGTGACCCTTCTATCTACACTTGAAGAGAAACATGATTATCGTATGCGACATAGCAATGTTATAATCCACACCTTTATTTCAATGCAAGTAGACATTCCAAAACAGATGTTTTACAGTTGAAGTTGCTTAACGTATTGGACGTATTTTCAATTGAATACCTCAGCTTGTATATTTGAGATATGTTTCTACAAGAATTGAATAACTTTGCTAATATATATATATATATATATATATATAAAGAATAAGACATTTGGATATTGTATCGCCACTATATATATATTTAATCCTCTTGAGGCAGAAAATCATGGTATTGAAGAAAAAACTTTGCTTTTCAATAACTTGAACATACTTTATCTTCATTATTCTCCTTTTGCTGTGGAAATCATAAGAAGAACTCCGAATCTAAAAGAGCTAAAGATTTTACAATCCATTGACTCGATCATTGTTTTCCCTAGGGATATTTTCCTTAAAAGGTACTTGTATACCATGGAAAGTCATGGCTTTGCTGGCTAATTTACCTAATCTTGAACGGTTTTTTGCATTCGCTTGAACAGATTGGACACTAAATGAAGATGTTGTGTTTCACAAATTAAAATATCTACGAATTGTAGAAGTAGATCTGCAAAGTAGGGAAGCAGGTAATGATAATTTTGCGATGCTTGAGTAACTAATACTACATGGGTTGCGTAATCTGGAGGAGATTCTCGAGAGTATTGGAGAAATAAATTCTTGCGCGATATATGATAATACATGCATATCACGTTTTTTTCTACAAGTTTGTAATATCTTGATATATGTTGATAAAGAAGAGATTATATATTATGCAATTCAAAAGATAAAATCAACACACGACAATGGACTAATAATATAACATATATAATTAAAATTACTAACTTCAACTGAATCATAACTGATGAACATTATCTAATGAACACAACACTTAGTACTGACTTCGACTGAATCATAACTCATGAACATTTCATGATGAACACCTCAAATGACAAATGAACCTAGACATTTAATATAATATTTAAGTTTTTAATTTAACTTTCGACAATTCCTTAACACGCACACTAGTAATTGGGAACTATGGAAGAAGTAGATCCACTAACCCTATTAGTAAAGGGTCCACCAACATTGAGTCCATATGAAGAACTTTAGCTAGAACAATTTGGAGGAGTCCAGGCACTTCCCAATGTCTGAAATGGGAATGCATTATTATTCACC